ATTTACTTTATTTTTCATGACTATGCCAAACGACTGAAATAGAAATGAAAATACTAGCGCCACTTTCTCATCCAATCAGAAGCAAAACCAAAACCAATCGTAACTCACTCGTACAGCGTCGCACACGTCTTCCCGCGCGCTCCTTGCAAGCTATGCGTATTTGCCTCGAGTTTTGATTGGTTCGTTGGATCGTTTGAGTCCCTTGTGATTGGCTAAAGTGGTTGCGTTGGTTTTGGTTTTACAACACCAGTTGACCTGTACTTCTCTAAAACCTCTATTTGGATTCGTTCAGTTGTTAATCGGCGCGCACCTCGTTTGTTCTTAGGGCTAGGGGTATTATTTTTGCTGTTTACCTATTGTTTCGTTTGGCCAGTTATAAAGAACCTTATAAACGGTGCAGGTTGCCCTTGCCACTGTAGCCAACTTAAAGATTTACTGAGAGCAATAAATAAATTTGTTTAGAGCTTCAAAAGGCCATCAGCTGCTCCGTCTTCAGAGCTCTTAATATTCCCTTGGCTCATTGCCTTAACCGGTGCACCAACCCTCTTATGGAAAAATGGCTACAATACAACTGCTCTACACAAATCCGGCCAGCCACGAGAATTACTTTGACAATAGAAATCTTGGAAATAAATGAAGTCTCCCAGATAGAGCGGCCTTGTGTAAAAACATCAGGATTTAAAATTTGAAAACATGTACACATATCTGTCCAAGAACACTAGCTACCTGTTCCTCGAAGCTCGCCGCTTCTCTCGAGGTTGGAAGTCGGAAAGCTGTTTGCTTCTCGGACCTTAATGCCCTCGCCTTTCAAATTACAGTGCATACTTTCGTGCCAAATAAAAGTTGTTGTTTCTGTATTTGTTCTCAGCAAGGGATAGCCATAGCTCAAACTATGTCTTCGAATAATTATAGTGTTAAAGAAGGACTTAAACGTATATCAAGAGACACTTGCTGATGTGTTATACACCGTTTATTTCTCTTCTGTTATGATTCCAGTTACGATTAAAATTATCATGAAATAGCGACTCTTTGTAAACTGTGGATTGTCTGTTATGTTTCTTCTATATGAGGTTCACTTAATTTATCTGTAAAACAATAACAAAGATGCAATTACTTAGCAAACTATTTCAAAGAAATGTCTTCCAAAGGTAATAATTTGAAAGCATCTGAAATCTGGGTATAGAGTAAAAGTTCAAATCAGTTTTTAGGTGGGTTCCTGGAGCCTCATTCTTCGCCGCTTGTAAAACACCGCGTTCTATTACCCATGAAGGTGGCTACTGAGTTTGACGCACAAGGGAATTACGCGTTTTTCCTACTCGAAATTTAGAAAGAAATCGAGACTAATCGCAGTTTTCATTATGTCAGTGTAAAGCGTAATCCAGGCTAACCGACTGGGGCACTATTGGCAAGGCGCAATCTGATTAGCCCCCGGGCAACAATTTTCCAAGATGCACATTCTGTGACGTGCTCCTAATTTAACGCGATAGATCTATAAGGTCCTCGAAGATTTCCTGATTAACTTATGTTGAAGACACTGAAAGTTTTAGTAGGTCATGTTGGTTACCATTTTTGAATAGTAAAAATTGCGGGGCGTCAGCAACAGAGGAGTAACAAATGAGGAATAACATTCGACAAGCGGCCGCCATTGTGTCACCACGCTCTGCTAGGCTACTCACTATTTACAACAGAATAGATAGCGGTAGTGTAGCCAATACAAGAATGGCATTCGCAATAGAACGCTAGTAGATTTATAATAAACCCTCAGACAACACACCGTCAAAGAGACCAGCGAAAGCCCAACAAAGTTTGGGGGGAATTAACAGGACGACCCTGTGTATTAAAGAATGGTAATAAACCCAGAATACTAGACCTTTGCTGGAACAGGGCATCAAAAAGTGATAGTTAACCCGTGCCGTGCGGGAATGGCTGAATTAACGAGGTACTGAGTGATCTTAAGTAACTGTTCGCCTAACACCGGTTGCGATAAAAAAATATTATTTTTAATCATACGTTTTTCATACCTTGCCATTCACTGACGACTCAGACGTTAGCTGTAACAGTTACAGTAATCTCCTTGGTAACCAAGTTTACTGTGTTGGCCGCCGTACACTTGTAAGTCCCAGAGTCAGAGACAATCGCCCCGGAAATGACGTATTCTACGCCCGTCAGCTCCGATTCCAAGTCGTAGATGTTATTGACTGTCACGCGGTCTGACGAAGGAGAGGAACCTGGGAACAAAATACGTTGGATGACGATTCTTTCAAAGCGCTAATGGTGGACTGATTGGGGAATGATATGTTTTACAAAGGTGAAAAAAAAAAAGTTCTCACTTGAGTGTCGATAATACTTCATATTTGCTTTGGTTTTGCATTTTTACGTAACGCGATTGGCTTAAACTGAAGAATTCGCGCTACTTTGTCATCCAATCGATGATAAAACCAGAACAAATTGTGATTCACTAGCTGGCACGTTTTCCTGCACCTCACGTCAGCTACATGTATTTGCTTGAGGTTTTGACTGGCCCGAGTCCTCTGTGACTGACCAGAGTGTTTGTTTTGGTTTCGGTTTTACACCACATCCGAGTTATCCTGTGTCTCTGTTTCAAAACGAGACTTTATGCAAAACCAGTCTTGCAAAAATGAGCTTGATTTGCATGAAAATGAGCCTGTAGGCGGAACACACTTTCATATGAATGGTTCCGCGCACGAAGACTCATTTTGGCACAGAGGCAAAAGGACAACTCGGAAATGGCCTATTGGAAACAGTTCTAAACCTGTGGGGCTTTTTTTGTGTGTGTGCTGGAGTGAAGGTAACTAGCTGCAGACTCACCGCCGACTTTGCTCCATGTGGCAGTAGGTGCTGGACTTCCTTCAACGTTACAAAGGAGAGAAATGGTTTCGTTCTCCTTCACAGAAAAGTCAGCATCAGGTACAGTTCCGGTGATGCGGACAGGAGCTGACAGCAAAAAAACAGGGATTTCACTTCCGGTAAATGAGAGGTCGACATATTTTCCGAACCGAGCAAATAGAGCCTCCCCACCTCCCACCAAATAGGTGAAATATACCAGGAATTAGACCCCCTCGCGTAGTTGGCAATTTTGGTTCAAAACTACAAACACATACGAAGATAAGTAGACCAGGTAGGGCAGCAGCTCTCGTAAGCTTGTAATTCTCTTCATTGTTAGCAGCTGTTATTGTTTTAGAGCTAGGGGGCATTGTTTCTGTTGCTTGTTCTTTTGTCCTCTCAGTGGGTTTCAAGCCATTCATGTGAGACCTTACGAGAGCTGACCAAACCGGAAGTTAAATTTTTTGTTTTCAGATGGTTAAAACGCGGTGAATAATAATAAAAAAAGATATGCAGTGTCTTTTTTCCTATCATTATCTCATGTAGATTCCACCAAGCAAATTAAAAAAAAAAAAAAAAAAAC